GTGTGTGTGTGTGTGTGTGTGTGTGTGTGTGTGCGTGTGAGCTTGTGCACTCAATCTGCTCTCATGTGTGTGTTTGCTGAAGGTTTGTCCGTCCTCCTCTCATCATCCTGTCTCTGGACGGCTTCCGCTCCTCTTACATGAAGAAAGGGAAGAGTGTCTTACCCAACCTCCACAAACTGAGTACAGAACCTCACCTCTGCATCACACCAATCCCACAATCCCTCACTGCACACACACTGACACTGGGCCGCAGTCAGCTCAGACGCCGTGCATAAAGGTGCAGTAAGCCATTTTTGAAAAAAACCCAGTTGAGAAGTGAACTGGACTCAAGCAACAAAACACACTTGTAGCCAATCAGCAGTAAAAGGTTTAGCAGCAAAGATGTTGCTTTATTTCTTCTTGATATGCGAGTAATGTTGTTTTTGCTGCCTTTCACTGTCTTTTACTTCAATATACTCATGTGCAGTGTTGGGAGTAGCACACTAGAAGTAACGCGAGTTATCAGATTTCTTTTTTTCAAGTAACTAGTAAAGTGACGCATTACTTTTTAATTTAGAAGGGAATATCTGAGTTTCTTTTTCAAATAAGTTACTCCAGTTACTTTGTTTCCATGTGTTGAGTGACAGCTCTGGTGTTGCCGTGGTGACAGAAATCAGGAGTCAGTGCAGAGCGTTGTGTGAGAACATGATCTTACTGTAGCTCTAGACTCAATATCAACATGTGTTTACTCAAAAACACATTCAGCGTTCCTCAAAATCAATACAAACAGTGAAATGCAAACTCATAATATGATGCAAACCTGCAATAATTAAATGTTAAATAACACACATATGCCATTTTATTAACTAATGCCTTTTCTGCCGACCTTCAATGATCTACTTCAACCGTATTAATAAGCAAAAGTGTTGAACTTCATTGATGATGAAGAGATGTAAGCCTGAAGCTTCTAAACGTTCACCATCTGTTTCAAGCGTCGGCTCTCAAACTGTGTCTGAAAAGTGAGATAAACTACTCCTAATATAATGCTTTTCCTTTTGGTTCCCCTTTTAGTGATTGCTATAACCCCATTAATTGTTGCCTGTGTTGTGACTGTGGGGGCGGAGCTATCAACATAGGGGTGTGGTCTTCTGGGCAGGGGCGTGTTTATTTTAGTGATTTCAAATGTCAGCAGCATTTTCCAGAAATCACTTACTGCACCTTTAATATAATGCAAATGTAACCATGGGTACACATTAAACTGTATTTTGGAGGTTTTCTTTCTGCTGGTCTGTAACAACTCTTGAAAAGCTCAAAATTGACCAATACATGAGTTTTGCCTGTATCATGTGTATATTTCGTGTGTTTCTTTGGTAGGATCGTGTGGAACCCACGCCCCTCATATGAGGCCCATGTACCCGTCCAAAACCTTCCCCAACCTCTACACGCTGGCCACGGTACCAAACACACTTCACAGCACAGCAGACAGATTCACTCGGTTCACTCAGACATGACTGAGAGACCACTGCGCTGATCATGTGAAGCAGAACATGGCTAATTCCCAGCAGGCTTTGCATAGGACTGTATAAGGAGAGTAAATGCTGAAATGAAGTCTTTTAATGCATTTTTGCACAAGATGAATATGTAGGAGATCTGTTAGTGTTTCATGTTCTCTAATGTCGAGATTTAAGATTATTTGATTCGAACAAAACTAGAATATTGAAACACGACATCATATTTTGCACCAAATGTTTTAACGGAAATGTTTTAAGGCGCTCGATTTGCTCGAATGATGTTATTAACTGAACTGCGTGGGATTGTCTGGTGTTCCTCCTCAGGGTTTGTATCCCGAGTCTCACGGGATCGTGTGTAACTCCATGTACGACCCCGAGTTCAAAGCTCATTTCAGACTGAGAGGACGAGAGAAGCTCAATCACCGCTGGTGGGGTGGGCAGCCCGTGAGTCATGACTCCGCCCACACATGCCTCTCAGCCAATCACAGACGAGACGCTTTACATAAGACTTATTATGTCGTGTGCATGGTTAAGGCATAAATGTGATTCTGTACTGTGGTGCAGAGGATGTTTCTTATTCTGTGCAGGTTTTACATGTGAACACTAAATAAATAATCCGGCTCAGTTTGGGTTTGGATGGAAAGTCGAGTTGTAAAGTTTGAAGTGGGTTCATGTTTAATAATTCAGAGTGTTTTTGTCTCTGTTTGTCGTCTCAGATTTGGATCACAGCAGAGAAGCAGGGCGTGAAGGCTGGGACGTTCTTCTGGCCCTGGTGAGCACCGAGATCTCAGTCCAAATGTGCTGAATGTCACAGAGAGCAGGATTATTCATTCTTCTGCTTTATGATATTGGTTTCTGATTACGTTCTACTGGTTAGTCTTGAGTTTCTTGAGCAGAGTGTCATTTTAAATGAGGTTTTCTTCTAAAATCAGCGTTCAGTGTTTGGAGCAAAGCTCAGAGTGTCACTGCCAGAGACAAACAACACATGATGCGAACAAAGACCTTTCACACACACACACACACACACACTCACTCACACACTGACTCTCTCTCTCACACAAACTCACACACACTCACACACATACACACACTGACTCTCTCTCTCTTCTCTCTCTCTCTCTCTCTCTCTCTCTCTCTCTCTCTCTCACACACACACACACACACACTCACAGACACCCTCTCTCTATCACACACACACACACACAAACACGCACACACACACACACACAAACACAAACACACACAGACACACACTCACAGACACACACACACTCACAGAGACACACACACGGGTCATTCAGAGTGGCTCAGTCTGTCCCGAGCTTCATGTTCTTCTCTGAAGAGCTTCACTTGTTTGCGCTCTGAAGATGCATTCAGCCGCTCGTGATGAAGAGCTCTGACATGTCTGTGATATTGTGTGCGAAGGGCTGAATGAACTCATCTGTTTCTCTGTCTGTCTCTCTGTCTGTCTGTCTGTCTATCTCTGTCTGTCTCTCTCTGTCTGTCTGTCTGTCTCTCTCTCTGTGTCTGTCTGTCTATCTCTCTCTGTCTCTCTGTCTGTCTGTCTGTCTGTCTGTCTGTCTTCTCTGTCTCTCTGTCTGTCTGTCTGTCTGTCTGTCTGTCTCTCTCTGTCTCTCTGTCTGTCTGTCTGTCTGTCTGTCTGTCTCTCTCTGTCTCTCTGTCTGTCTGTCTGTCTCTCTCTCTCTGTCTCTCTGTCTCTCTGTCTGTCTGTCTGTCTGTCTCTCTCTCTCTCTCTGTCTGTCTGTCTCTCTCTCTCTGTCTGTCTGTCTCTCTCTGTCTCTCTGTCTGTAGGGTGATTCCTCTGGAGCGGAGGATCCTCACTATCCTGCAGTGGCTGCACCTGCCTGATGACGAGAGGTGCGGCGTTTGAATACTAATGGAGAAACAAAACATTCTGATGAGGGACAGTTAAGATCCCGGGCATAAAATAAAATATTTGATGTAGTACAATATTTTTCTACTATAACAGGCCATCCACTTTAAGAACTGTAGATATGGTCATAACTATAACGATTGTATTGATTAATATAACAAGTATCTATAGTAATCACAATAGTTATTGTAATCACTGCCGTTATCGTGATTGCTATATATAACTATAACTTTAGCGATTACTATAACGATAACTACAACGCTAAATATAGTGATTACTATTATGATAACTATAGTGAAAATTACAACAATAACTGTAGTGATTATAATTACGATAACTAGGGAAAATTATAGCATTAACTATAGTCATGATTATAATAACTATAGTAACTACTATAACGAGAACAATACTGAAGATTATAACAGTAACTATAGTGATTACTATTATAACTATAGTAAAAAATGTAAAGATAACTATAGTGATTACTATTACGATAACTATAGTGAAAATTATAATGATAACTAGTGATGACTAGAATGATAACTGCAGTGAGAACGTCTCAGGTTACATATGTAACCATGGTTCCCTGAGTAGGGAACGAGACACTGCGTCCTCTAGGGGTCGCTATTGGGAATGCCTCGTCGTGACCCGTGTCTGAAGCATACATTGAAAAAACACCAACAACACATGACGTCACTACCGGTGCGACTATAGTATAAATAGGCGTCGGGAGAACACATCATCCACTTCTTCGTCTGAAGCTTGGATCCGAAGCATGGCAAGAAACCTAGAGGAAGCAGTGTCTCGTTCCCTACTCAGGGAACCATGGTTACATACGTAACCTGAGACGTTCCCTTTCATGGGAACTTCAAACTGCATCCTCTAGGGGTCGCTATGGGGAACAGTATACCCACGCCACCATGCTGAGGGGAGTGCATGCCAGAAACCATGGCGAGCACTAAGTACCAACTCTACCATATTGCCATGGGAGTTGCCACTGGGACGTTAAGACGGCTGTCAGTGACGTTATTCCCTACGGCCAAAGGCCTAGGCTACATACCCCCCAAAAAAACTTACCTGTTAGGGCCAGATCTCCTGGGCCCGGGGTAGAGCGCAAGGCTTGGAATCAGGAATATATTCCTTTAAGGGAATACAACCAAGAGCCTAGAATCATACTAAGTCTTGGCCTGTCACACAGGGGCTACCGCACGCTCTGCATATGCTGAAGGAACTGTCTCAACAGACCCCTAGTAGCAACACCCTGTTAAAGTAGGTATCCAGAGGATACATAGGTGGTGTGGTGCCCAAGGCGGACCAGGGTTTTAAACCACTCAGAAAGAGCAAGAGGCTGCTGCGCGTCGCTCTTACTGTACAGGATTTTAGAAAAGAACACAGAGTACTAGCGTGCGAACTTACCACAGTGTGGATTTTAGAAAGTATACAAAAACTTCACGTGCACACTTACCATAACATGGACTTTAAAAATACCGTTCTAAGGGGTTCTCGTGGCACTCTAAAAGAGCAACCCATAGATGGAAATGGTGCATCCCAAAACACTATGTTTGAGAAGTCATTAACTCGATCTAAGTCTTATAATGCTGGAGTGGCTAGCAGTAAATCTGTAGCTGAGGGAGCAAACATCCAGCTCTCAATCGAGAGGGAGCTCAACCTACAGCATGTTCCAATGGTGGAACAGCTAGCAGTTTTTTAGATGTGGGAGCAAACATCCAGCTCTCAGTCGAGAGGGAGCTCGACCTACAGCATGTTCCAATGCTGGAACGGCTAGCAGTAATTTCTAAAGAAAGCACTACGCTCACAATAACCCTCAATGGTGAGGGGAGCGATGCTTCCAGAGTGTGTCGACAGAGATGAGTGGAGCCCAAGGTACCGGGGTCTAAACCAACTCAGAGAAAGGGAACAAGGCTCATAACACGTAACCCTTACAATCCAGGATTTCAGAAAAGTGGTCAAAGCATAACGTGCCCACTTACCACCTAAGTGGATTTTAGAAAGTGCGCAAAGCATAACGTGCACACTTACCACTTATGTGGATTTTTAGAAAGTGCGCAAAGCTTAACGTGTGCACTTACCATAATATAGATTTAAGATTTTTCCCAGCATTTTCTCACAGATTCCCAGAAGTACTGAGCCAAATGGGAGAGGCAAGCTCAAATACAACCTTCTAAGGTGAGGGGAGCACTGCCTGAGACAGCATTACACAAGAAGGTTCTCGCAAATGCCACCTATACTTCCTGCTCGATGCCTCAGCAAGAGGGGATATCCTGACTACGCTCACAATAACCCTCAATGGTGAGGGGAGCGATGCTTCCAGAGTGTGTCGACAGAGATGAGTGGAGCCCAAGGTACCGGGGTCTAAACCAACTCAGAGAAAGGGAACAAGGCTCATAACACGTAACCCTTACAATCCAGGATTTCAGAAAAGTGGTCAAAGCATAACGTGCCCACTTACCACCTAAGTGGATTTTAGAAAGTGCGCAAAGCATAACGTGCACACTTACCACTTATGTGGATTTTTAGAAAGTGCGCAAAGCTTAACGTGTGCACTTACCATAATATAGATTTAAGATTTTTCCCAGCATTTTCTCACAGATTCCCAGAAGTACTGAGCCAAATGGGAGAGGCAAGCTCAAATACAACCTTCTAAGGTGAGGGGAGCACTGCCTGAGACAGCATTACACAAGAAGGTTCTCGCAAATGCCACCTATACTTCCTGCTCGATGCCTCAGCAAGAGGGGATATCCTGGTGATTGGGAGGCCCCTCAGGGCAACCTAGATACGGTAGACCAGACAGGGCAGCCTGAAAGCATAAGCCCAGCCCGGACGTCCAGGAAATTTTTGCAGTGCCGTGCCGGGGGCCTAATGATCAAGAAGGCTCCCGCAGAAGCCTGTGACCTGGCCGCACAATCCAGGAAGTATGAAGCCGAAACCTGGCTTATCATACCATCTGGACATATATCGACGAGTGAAATAAACACTGCAAGTCGAGCACCCGGTTTCTGAACCCAGCAGAGAGAGTGCTCATCGAAGACCTACCCTAGAAAAAGGACAGAAACACAGAAACACACGGAAACACTGCAAAGAAAGCTAGATGAAGGATTACACACACAACCACCAGCGCATTAAGTACACACACATACACACATAATATATTGAATAGGAGACTGTAATGCAGGAAGTTCCCACCTAACCTCGGTCAGGTGGATAGATGGTGGTTACAGGGGAATTAGGAGGGGAAAGATAAGGGCATATGTAAAACCTCCGAAGGAAAATGAGTAGATACTAGGGATGTCAATTTTCGATAATTTCTATGATCGATCGTCGTTTAAATTAACGATCAATTAATCGATTAATCGTTTACCTTAATGCTGCAAAATGCGTCTATGCAGCCTGGCACGACAGGATGTGCAAAAGTTACTCAAAAAAAACCCTGCTTTCTCACCCGATTTAAAGGGGATTCAGTATGAATAAAATGCTAGTAGCAGGATTGTAAAATGAATAGATGTGATTATGATCATTTGATAAAATGAAGAGAGTTCGTTTGAGATCATTTTAGCCTACTTTGTTGACTATCCCCTCACGGGGACCGCTGAAAGCGCCTCTTTAAATGGTTTCGTGGTGCTCGTTGTTGTATTTTAAAACACAATTGCAATGTTTTCAACTGACATTATGGTTACATACATTTCAACATATTTAAAATAAAATGATCCCAAACGTAACTGTGGCGCGTGTGGCTGTGCTGCGCAGTCAGTGAACCGCTTCCATCGGCGCTGCTGCAGCAAAACACTGTTGCTCACTGTTGAAACATTTTTATGTGAGTATTATGACCAGTACTTAATTTGATCCTGCTGGATCCTATTCCGGAAAATGTCAGATTTTGAATTTTTGCGTTCCGGTAGGCCTATTTATTTGTAAAAATCCGGCATTTACAGTGCATTAGATTGTGACAGTGCATGCTTGCGTGTACGAGGACAGAGTGAGGTTTGGCTCGATGTATTTGGAGCTTATTGCTCACGTCTCATTTGGCACAAATCCATATTCGTAATGTATTCGAATGTTAAACTATTATTTAAAATGTAAACTAGGCTTGTACTTTACACACATTCGCATATAGACGGAAAAGATCATCCTCTTCACATGAGCAAAAAGCATGTTCCAATGGTGGAACAGCTAGCAGTTTTTTAGATGTGGGAGCAAACATCCAGCTCTCAGTCGAGAGGGAGCTCGACCTACAGCATGTTCCAATGCTGGAACGGCTAGCAGTAATTTCTAAAGAAAGCACTACGCTCACAATAACCCTCAATGGTGAGGGGAGCGATGCTTCCAGAGTGTGTCGACAGAGATGAGTGGAGCCCAAGGTACCGGGGTCTAAACCAACTCAGAGAAAGGGAACAAGGCTCATAACACGTAACCCTTACAATCCAGGATTTCAGAAAAGTGGTCAAAGCATAACGTGCCCACTTACCACCTAAGTGGATTTTAGAAAGTGCGCAAAGCATAACGTGCACACTTACCACTTATGTGGATTTTTAGAAAGTGCGCAAAGCTTAACGTGTGCACTTACCATAATATAGATTTAAGATTTTTCCCAGCATTTTCTCACAGATTCCCAGAAGTACTGAGCCAAATGGGAGAGGCAAGCTCAAATACAACCTTCTAAGGTGAGGGGAGCACTGCCTGAGACAGCATTACACAAGAAGGTTCTCGCAAATGCCACCTATACTTCCTGCTCGATGCCTCAGCAAGAGGGGATATCCTGGTGATTGGGAGGCCCCTCAGGGCAACCCAGATACGGTAGACCAGACAGGGCAGCCTGAAAGCATAAGCCCAGCCCGGACGTCCAGGAAATTTTTGCAGTGCCGTGCCGGGGGCCTAATGATCAAGAAGGCTCCCGCAGAAGCCTGTGACCTGGCCGCACAATCCAGGAAGTATGAAGCCGAAACCTGGCTTATCATACCATCTGGACATATATCGACGAGTGAAATAAACACTGCAAGTCGAGCACCCGGTTTCTGAACCCAGCAGAGAGAGTGCTCATCGAAGACCTACCCTAGAAAAAGGACAGAAACACACAGGTCCCGGGAAACACTGCAAAGAAAGCTAGATGAAGGATTACACACACAACCACCAGCGCATTAAGTACACACACATATATATATATATATATATATATATATATATTTAGAAATGGATCGCACTCACCCACCATGGTTCCCGTGTCTGAGCCCGTCCGAAGAAGCCTCTAGACCGGACCATCAGTAAGGTGGTCACTATGAAGCCATAGAACCAACCAAACATCATAGGGCCAGCATAGCAGACTGTAATGCAGGAAATTCCCACCTAACCTCGACCAGGAGGAGAAATGGTGGTTACAGGAGAATTAGGAAGGGGAAGATAAGGGAAGATGTAAGACCCCCGAAGGAAATGAGTAGATACTGAGGTATCACTCTGATCCGGACAAAAGCGCTGACGCCCTGTCTGGATCACATCCCTTAGGTCTTTTGCCTACCTTCCTTTGACCCGCGATTCTTCCTACCCCTACCCGCGGGCGGGGGAGAAGTGCGAGCCACGACACTAGCCTTCTGTGCCCGTCACTGATCCTCCCTGAACTTCTCGACCACCGTCTCAACGGAGGTACCAAAAATACGTAAGGCGAAACCGGCACATCGAGAAGAAAGCCCCTCTCTTTTTTCCTGATATCTGCTAGGTTCACCCACAGATGTCCCTCCGTCACTACCATAGCCGCCATGGACCTGTCCATAGCAGAGGCGGCCTGCTCAGTAGCACGGAGAGCGAGATCCGTGGTGCGGCGCACTCAGCTACCTCATCAGGAGAAAGGCCCTCGCCTTTATCCAGGTCTTTCAGCAGGTCAGCCTGATATGCTTATCGTGTGCAATGAAGCGACAGCCCAACCCGCTGTATGCCCTGGCATTCGAGTGAGATGTCAAGGAGGAAGTCTTATGAAAGGACGTCTCACCAATAGAGAGATAGCTGGCCAGATCCACCTGCGATCCCCACGAGCTCATTCTCCATGCCTCAGCAGCGGTGGGTCCTGAATCGCGGGAAGCAGATGGCTGCCCCTCTTTCCTCGAAAAGAGAGACAAACGAGAGCGGAGCTTTTTCATTAGAAAAACGCTCGCAGTGCACGCTGATTGCCCCCTCGGAGACATCGCGTGCGTGCTCTTCTCCCAAACAAGGCATAGATCGTGTGTGTCATCAGATGTTAAACAACAACAACACGGATGCACACATCCTCTAAACACTTTGCTAGTGCTCGCCATAATGATATGAATAGAGATCGCTCTTACCACAGAAATGCACGCTTCAAACAAAACAGTCAATGACGACGAAGATGACGTGGATGACGTGTTCTCCCGGCGCCTATTTATACTATAGTCGCACCGGTAGTGCCGTCATGGCTGTCACCGGCCAACGTGTTGTTGGTGTTTTTTCAATGTATGCTTCAGACATGAGTCACGACGAGGCGTTCCCCATAGCGACCCCTAGAGGACGCAGTTCAAAGTTGCCATGAAAGGGAACTGTAATTCTAACTTTAGTGATTATTAACTATTGTGATTACTACTACAATAACTACAGTGAAAATTATAAGATAACTATAGTAATTACTATTATGATAACTATAGTAAAAATTACAAAGATAACTAGTGACGATTATAACGATAGCTGTAGTGCTGACTAATGATAACTACAGTGAGAAATGTAATTATAACTTTAGTGATTATTAACTATTGTGATTACTACTACAATAACTACAGTGAAAATTATAAGATAACTATAGTAATTACTATTATGATAACTATAGTAAAAATTACAAAGATAACTAGTGACGATTATAACGATAGCTGTAGTGCTGACTAATGATAACTACAGTGAGAAATGTAATTATAACTTTAGTGATTACTGTAATAACTACTGAAAATTACAACAATAGCTATAATGAATACTATTACGATAACTATAGTGATGACTAGAATGATGACTACAGTGAGAAGTGTAATTATAACTTTAGTGATTACTGTAATGATAACTATAGTGATTACTACTACAATAACTACAGTGAAAATTGTATGATAACTATAGTAAAAATTACAAAGATAACTAGTGACGATTATAACGATAGCTGTAGTGCTGACTAATGATAACTACAGTGAGAAATGTAATTATAACTTTAGTGATTACTGTAATAACTACTGAAAATTACAACAATAGCTATAATGAATACTATTACGATAACTATAGTGATGACTAGAATGATGACTACAGTGAGAAGTGTAATTATAACTTTAGTGATTACTGTAATGATAACTATAGTGATTACTACTACAATAACTACAGTGAAAATTGTATGATAACTATAGTAAAAATTACAAAGATAACTAGTGACGATTATAACAATAGCTATAGTGCTGACTAATGATAACTACAGTGAGAAGTGTAATTATAACTTTAGTGATTACTGTAATGATAATATAGTGATTACTACTACAATAACTAAAGTGAAAATTATACGATAACTATAGTAATTACTATTATGATAACTATAGTAAAAATTATAACTATAGTGACGATTATAATGATAACTATAGTGATTACTAATGATAACTACAGTGAGAAATGTAATTATAACTTTAGCGATTACTGTAATGATAACTAGTGAAAATTACAACAATAACTATAGTGATTACTGTTACAATAACTATAGTGAAAAGTATAACGATAACTACAGTGATGACTAGAATGATTAGAACCATAATGAAAACTTTAAGGAGAATTATAGTTATTACTAGTGATAAATAGAGAAATCCAGAATCCCTACGGGATAAACCTTAAACTCTTATATGACAACAAATTCAGACAAAAATTATGTACCAATACTCAGATTTCTGTTCTGGACATTTATGCAAATTAGTGCATATTTAATTGGATAAAGCCTCATTTTCATAAGACACAACATTTTTCATAAACATAACATTAAAAAAAACTTGCTGATTTATCATGTTTTTTTGGTAGTTGTCATGTAGTTTTGTGTGATTTGTATTTTCCAGGCCGTATGTCTACGCTGTTCACTCAGAGCAGCCGGATACATACGGACATATCCTGGGTCCACTGAGCAATGAGGTGAAACTCTCTCTCTCTCACACACACACACATACATACTCACACTCACACACATACATACTCACACTCTCACACACACACACACACACACACACTCAAACACTCACACACACACACACACACATATATATATACACACATTCATAGACTTTGAGTAGTGTGTGACATTTAGAGGAGGGTAAATATGACATGAGTTTTAACTGTTTTTACTGTGTGTTTTTACTGTGTGTGCGTGCGTGCGTGCGTGTGTGTGTGTGTGTGTGTGTGAGACAGCTGGATAACACTCTCAGGAAGATCGATAACATCATCGGTCATCTGATGAACGGCCTGAAACAGATGAACCTCCATCGCTGTGTGAACGTTATCCTAGTGGGCGATCACGGTACGATCTCTGGTGTTCTAGCGCAGAAACACACACGCATGCATTCACATCCAGCAGGTCTGAAGACAACAGTCCACACTAAAAATCAGTTTTATAGGCCTGAGGAATCATAAGTTATGATGTAGAATGAGTAATAAATTAAATTCTGCTCTATATCTAATGTAAATGTGCTGAATGAATCGAACAGACTCAGATCCTTCATTTAAATGGTCAATTCACAGCAAATGTTCTGTGTGTGTTCAGGGATGGAGGAGTCTCACTGTGAACGAACAGAGTATTTGAGCTCTTATGGACTGGATGTTGACGCTATCACACTGATCCCAGGATCCTCTGGAAGAATCGGCCCCAAAAACGCCAACACATCATGTGAGCACATACACATTCATCTCCGTTAAGCTCATTATAAAAACTATAGGCTCACCCTAAAATGTAATGATTTATACAGTATTTATTCACTTTATGAAATGTTTATCCTGAATTTGTAGATATTCTTCAGCGATTTTGTTTAAAAAAAAAAAAAAGTGGTTCCTCAGGAAGGCGATGTCCACGCTTGTGGCCCAAGAGCGCCATCTTTGGCTTAACCTCACTGAGATGAGAGATGTCGACAGTGCGCTTTCTTGACGCTTCCATCTCGCAGGTTGGCCTATTCGGCGACACTGACACTGCAGAGACAGATTGAGGCCATCCAGCACATCTTGCCCCGGCGTGATCCTCCAGCTGCCACTGCTCTGCCGTGGGCCGTGCCTCAGCCTGCTCATCGCCGAGGGTACCTCCGCCCCGTGCTGAGACACCGTCGTGGCCAGGGCGTCGAGCCTCTCGAAGGACTGCGGCGTCCCCCGTGTCCCAGCCGGCCCCTAAGTTTTCTAAAAAGACAACAAAGCGGCCCTGACATGGGTAACCCGGAGATGTGGGAAGCTGCTCTTTTTCAGGAGATGGCGAGAACAGCTCCACTTCGCCGAGCGGAGAATCCTTTGTTCCATTTTATTTCTATTCACCTTCTGTACCCACATCCTCGAAAAAAGCAGTTTCCTTTTCCTCCGGGTTATCAGGCTCGTGGGTTGACAGTGAGCGACGCACTGCCTTCTCACTCTCGCCCACAATGCCCCCTATCACCAGCAGCCAAGAGATCGCGGCTCAGAGACACGCTGCCTCTCCACGCATCTCTGGCCAGTCCCTCCGGGAACACGGGGAGTCCTGCTGTGATGAGCCAGGACGCGATGCCTTCTGTGCCATCCAGCACGACTTCCCACCGCTGCACCACCGTGGGTGTGTCGATTGTCCCTTTGGTGCCACTCGCACGGAGCTTGGATGTGTGGATCGCACTGCCCAGCCCGTCCCGCTGGCTCATTCAGACAGTTTGACTACCCCTGTCCTGCATGACGAGATTGCTGTCCTACTGGCGAAGGACGCAATCGAGCCTGTCCCTCAAGCCGAAATGAATTCAGGGTTTTACAGCCCTTACTTCATAGTACCCAAGAAAGGCGGTGACCTTCGGCCAATCCTGGATCTGTGAGTCTTGAATCGGGCCCTTCACAAGTTCCCATTCAAGATGTTGATGCAGAAGCGCATCATCAGATGCATCCAGCCCCAGGATTGGTTTGCAGCGGTCGACCTGAAGGATGCTTACTTTCATGTCTCGATTCTTCCTCGACACAGGCCGTTCCTACGGTTTGTGCTCGAGGGTCGGGCATGGCAGTACAGAGTCCTCCCATTCGGGCTGTCCCCCCGTGTCTTTACAAAGGTCGCGAAGGGCGCCCTTGCCCCATTATGGGAAGTGGGCATCAGAATCCTCAACTACCTCGATGACTGGCTCATCATGGCCCAGTCATGAGAGCAGTTGTGCGATCACAGGGACCTGGTGCTCCGTCACCTCAGCCAGTTAGGGCTTCGGGTCAACTGGGAAAAGAGCAAACTCTCCCCCGTGCAGAAGATTTATTTTCTCGGTATGGAGTTAGACTCGTTGAGTATGACAGCACGTCTCACCAACGTGCATGCCAAGTCAGTGCTGAACTCCCTGAGTTCCTTCAGAGGCAGGAACGTGGTATCCCTGAAACACTTTCAGAGGCTCATGGGGCATATGGCATCCGCAGCCACAGTCACGCCGCTCGGATTGATTCATATGAGACCACTTCAGCACTGGTTACACTCCCAAGTCCCGAGATGGGCATGGTGTTCGTGTGACTATCACACCAGAGTGTCGCCGCCTATTCAGCCCCTGGACAAACCTTGGCTTTCTACGGTCCAGGGTGTCCTGGCATGTCGTTGTCACGATGGATGCCTCCAGTACGGGTTGGGGCACTACACGCAGCGGGCAGTCAGGAGTCTTCCCACGAGTCCTCTCACTGCCAGCTGTATTACTCCCTGACCGAGGCCCTCCTCGGCATGGATGCACTGACACACAGCTGGCCTCGGGCTCTACGCAAGTATGCATTTCCCCCAGTGAGGTCAGGGATGACAAGGAACAGGTCTTGCTGGTTGCGCCTTACTGGCCCACCCGGACCTGGTTTTCGGAACTCCTCGTCCTCACAACAGCCCCTCCCTGGCGCATCCCTCTGAGGAAGGACCTCCTTACTCAGGGGCTCGGCACCATATGGCACCCACGTCCAGATCTCTGGGACCTCCACGTTTGGCTCCTGGATGGGACACGGCAGACTTAAGTGATCTGCCACCGGCTGATCGTCAGATTCCTGAGGTGTGTCAGAAGGTTAAATCCTCCTAGGCCACCCCTGGTGCCCTCCTGGGATCTCTCTACGGTCCTGGCTGGCCTTCAGAGGGGTCCCTTTGAGCCACTGGATTCAGTCAAGCTTAAGTTCCTGTCTGCTAAGAGAGTGCTCCTGACCGCGCTCACTTTCATCAAGAGGGTCGGGGACCTCCAAGCAAAGAGTGCCTTGTGTGCGGGCTGGCCTACTCTCACGTTGTCCTGAGACCCCGGCCTGGATAAGTGCCCAAAGTTCCCACCACGCCCTTTCGCGACCAGGTGGTGAACTTGCAAGCACTGCCCTCGGAGGAGGTAGATCCAGCCTTGGCGTTGCTGTGTCCCGTAAGAGCGTTGTGCATATACGTGGACCACACCCGGAGCTTCAGAAGCTCTGAGCAGCTCTATGTCTGCTACGGAAATCAGCAGAAAGGGAAGGCTGTCTCCAAGCAGAGGTTGGCCCACTGGATAGTGGATGCCATCGCCTTGGCCTACCAATCCCAAGGCGAGCAGTGCCCCCTGGGGGTGAGGGCTCACTCCACACGGAGTGTTGCCTCCTCCTATGCGCTGGCGCACGGTGCCTCTCTGGCAGACATCTGTAGAGCTGCGGGCTGGGTGACACCGAACACCTTTGCATGATTTTACAGTCTCCACGTTGAGCCGGTTTCTTCCTGTGTGTTCGGTAACAGGTAAGTGGCGGGAAGAGCCAGCCAACGTCACGCTTGCTGCGCCATTCCCCCTCACCCAGGGATGTGAGCGCCTTTTCCTCCTCCAGTAAGTTCCCTGGACGGCGAACCCTGGTTGAGTATCCTGCAGCACCCCCGGCAGTCAGACTGGGCTGAGCAGTCTGACGTCAGGCCCAGTATCGGTGTTAGCTTGCCCGGGTTTCTGGTCAGCCCCTTTACTGGGCTAGGTGTCCATATGGCTTGATTCCCTGAACCTGTGTCTTCCCTTTGACAGACCACTCTGTCAGTCTCAAGTCTCAATTTATTTATAAAGCACAATTAAAAACAACTACAGTTGAACAATGTGCTGTACAATGTTATAAAAGACTTATAAAAACATGTATACAAACCAAGCCAACATCACAAGTCATAGGCCATAGTGAAGAGATATGTTTTTAACTTTGATATAAAAATATGTATTGTTGGTGCAGTTCTAATATGGATCGGTAACGTGTTCCAAAGTTTAGGTGCGGCAATGGCAAAAGCTCGATCACCCTTAGATTTTAATTTTGACTTTGGAACAGGTAACAAACTCTGGTTGGCAGACCTAAGAGTTCTTTCCAGATGATATTCACACAACAGGTTGGAGAGGTAAGGGGGAGCAAGGCCATTTAAACATTTTTCTCTGTCTCTGCTGCAGTCTCTGCTGGCAGCCGTTCCTCCCTACTCCTAGGTAGGACCTGCCTCAGAGACCCATTACATATGTAGTACTGCCTCAGGCTTGGGTCAGTCCATATCAGTATCTCCACATGATACCTCCCTATGGGCAGGATGTGGTCTCCGTAGCGCCCTTCTCCGGAAGACTCGCTTCCCCATCGTTACTGCCAAGCTGTTAACAACAAACAGGAAAGGCGTGAAGCACCTTTCATGAAGGTCGAAATCCCTTCTCTTAAGAAAAATATTTCTGACATATGAGCAGTGGCTTGGCTATCTCCAAGCAGCTATGTACTCACCCTTTGGTCCCTGCGGGCACCAAGGCCAGCAAATTTGCACTGGGGCGTTGGGAAGGTTATGACCCTTGCGTAGCACTTGTCTGGCACACGGCTGCTTGTCAAAATTTGCAGCGCTACAAGGTTGTGACGGGGTTCTGATTGTGGTGCTTTCCAAGGACCCCCTATGTCATCACGACATAACTCGTAGTGACTGACAGATAGGTTCCCTGATGGAGGGAACAGAGATGTTATGTCCTCATGCTACAACCTCAAACCATCGCTGGTTGCCAGAAACACGTTCTCGGCTCCTCAGTGTAAAACTTGAATGAGTGGATGCACCTGTCGCCTATTTATACCCATATGCACGGGGAGTGGCTCAGGTATGCAAAATCACTAGCCAAATTTCATTGGCGTTTTCTCTTAAAGTCAGAGCGGATTGGGGCTCTCAAGTAAACCACCTATGTCGTCACTACATAACGTCTCCATTCCCTCCATCAGGGAACGAGGGTTACATACGTAACCGAGACGTTTCTTCTTAAAGCAATTTAAACTGAAATTGTGGGACATTAAATTTACAATTTTCACATGTATGCAACTTACTGTATGAACTTATAAATTAAAAACCATTTTAAACTTACAGAATTGCATGATTTGTAGTTCGTCTTTTATGATACACCAGAGGTCCCCTGAAGCTATTAAACCTTAAGCTCACCAGCAGTATATATATTTACATTATCACTATATATCATTTGAATATGACTAAAATTTGTCTGGCAATGGTTCGAATTAAATAGGTAGTTGTAATTTATAATGGTTGTAATTTAGGTCAAAGATGTGTTAAATTAACTAATGAATCTTCTGTTTACAAAGTCTAATGATCAAAGTTATGGTCAGTTTTCTATGTTAAATTTATATATTCATGCATTTGGCAGACACTTTTATCCAAAGCAACTTACATTGCATTCAGTGTTTACATTTGATCACTTTATGAATTTTCTGGACTTTTATTTTATATCAAAATATCTATTTTACATCAAAATAGAATTCATTGGCTGTTTTCATTAAAATAAAGTACATGGTAAACTGTGTTTTTCCTTGAAACTGTAATTGAGTACAAAAATTGAGTTTCAGTAGTATTCTATTAAAGTATAAATTATTTCATTATCAGTGTGGTAATGAAATAGTACACACCCTGCATACACACTAAGTCTAAAAACATAGATTTCAGAGGAAACAGATGTTTACTTCTGAAACCTTCACAGTTGAATTTATTGCCTCATTTCTTTATGTTTCAGATGATCCAAAGGAGATTGTATCTAATTTAACAGTAAGTCAATTAGTCCCATCCTCCTGACAGAATCAGTGTTGTGTTTGTACACCATGCTGCATGTGACCTTTGACCTTCGACCTGTTTCCAGTGTAAGATGCCCAATCAGCACTTCAAGCCATACCTGAAGCAGCACCTGCCCAAACGCCTGCATTACGCCAACAACAAACGCATCGAGGACGTGCACCTGCTCATGGACAGGAAGTGGCACGTGGCCATGTGGGTATCACTGTGTGTGTGTGTGTGTGCGCACCACTGTATGTGTGTGTGTGTGTGTGCGCGCGTGCGTGTGTATTCAGATCTAAAATAAGACAAAATTCAGATTTTTAGTGGTCAAAATTCATTTTTTTCCCCAGTATGTATATGTGTATATATATATATATGTGTGTGTGTGTGTGTGTGTGTATGAAATTAATCGCGATAAATTAAGTTCTTATTTTTATTTTATTTTATATATTTACATTGCAATAATTTCACATTCAATCTTCAAATGAATGTAGAAACAACATAAAGACAGTATATTTTTAATGGCATCTTTTTTTATGACTGAATGCAAGTATCACTGATACCAATACTGCTGATGTCTCTAGGAAATTATTTTTTTCCTAATAGTTAACCATTGACTATAGACATTCAACATTACAGTATAATTGAGATTACTATCAACTTTAACATTTATTAACATTTATTAGACTTATATAACTTAACTTCAAATGAACTTAAAACAATCCTCACATAAACCCATTATAATAAATGTCATATTTAGCTACCTGTGTCCTTCAGCGAGTATGAGATATGCAGAAATAGAATAAAGTTATAAAACACTGAATTCTAGATGAAATATAGATGAATCCTTAAAGCTACAAAAGTTATTGATTTCCTCTGTTGTCTTTTGCTCCTTGATGAACAGTCATCACATCAGCTGGTTATTAGGTTATTTGGCTGCTATTACTTTAAGAGCTGCCGCTGCTGAACGTGACGTGGATCTAACGCATGCTCGTAGTTTCATTCACGCTTTAATATGAAATGATACAGGTTACAGCACGCGCCGCTGTATTTGTGTGTGCAATTGACGAGTGTACGCTACTAGCGCAGGATAACGGCTGACAGGACATATGGCCTGACAACATCCCATCTGACCGCAGCTGACTGTTGTTCTTCTGAAGAATTCCTCACAAAAACCCATTTTAGTTGAGAGTAAGATTTGATGTGTGTTGTGTGTTGTGTGTGAGAGCAGATCTCCGGCTACCTGCGGCTTCTTTGGAGATCATGGCTTTGACAACAAGATCAGCAGCATGCAGGTAAATCAGTCTATCAATCAATCGATCAATCAATCAATTAATCAGTACAGTAACCTATCCTGTTTCTCGCAGACGATCTTTCTGGGATTTGGACCGAGCTTCAATTTCAAGACAGAAGTGCATGTTTTTGAGAACATTGAGCTGTATAATGTCATGTGTGGTGAGAAGATCCCGCTGGGTTTATTAGTATTCTTAGATTATGAGAATCATGACAGATTAATGCACCGTCCGTGTGTGTGTGTGTGTGTGTGTGTGTGTGTGTGTGTGTGTGTGTTTCTGCT